GTATATATATAAATATATATATATATGTATGTATATATAATAACTGCGACTGCTGAAGGGTACAGAATAACGGAAGTGGCTTTTTTTTTTATTGTTGAGTGATAGAGAACGATTGGATTGTTTTAGCAACATGCCGACTACGTCAGAAATCTACAGTACAGGAGATATCACGTACACTGCCTGCGGAGGTGAGGAAGTCGGTGGCGTCGTAACTGATGACACAACAAAATGGACAGTTACGAACAAGAACGGTATGAGCATCGGCGTCACTGATTACGGTGCAACTCTGGTGTCATGTATAGCACTTGATAAGGAAGGGGAAAAAGGCGAGACGTTGATATTTTTCGACTCCTTGAAAGATTATGCACTTAAAGGTGCAGGGCATGGAGCCACCATTGGAAGGTGAGTGTAATGATTGACTATGAACTTCCAATGTTCGGTTATGCAAAACCATCTATCATGGAAGATTTGACATAAGTTTTATAGCCCATTGTAGGTCATGTGGTCTAGTTGTGTGCTCAGTTGTGGATCCTTCCAAGGGGTTTCTGTCCTGCTCATAGTAAACGTTCTTTAAATTGCAGATATGCCAATCGTATTGCGCAAGGTCAGTTTGTGATCAACGGAACCACATACCAGGCGCCCGTAAATGATTGGGGTCGACCCAATTGCTTACATGCAGGCCGAATCCCTTGGCAGCATCAGAAATGGGATGCAGAGGAAGTCGAAGATGACGGAGTTTCGGGTGTCAAATTCTCACTTGTCAGTCCAGATGGGGCAGAAGGATTCCCAGGAGAGGTCACGATCAGCGTCACCTATTCTTTGAGTGACAATGATGATGTGCGCATATACTACGAAGCAACTACCGATCAAGATACTATCATCAATGTAACAAATCACGGTTACTGGAATTTGAGCGGTGACCATAAGCGATCCGCTAGGACTCACGAGTTCTCTGTAAATGCTAAAGAGTATCTGCCAGTTGATGAGAACTGTATTCCCACCAACATAACAGAGGTCGAGGGCACGCCATTTGACCTGAGGTATGTTATATTCGAGTTTGTCTCTCTATCTCACCAGAATTTGTATGCTTTTGTAGAAGACCAGATATTCCAACTATATCTTTCGCTCACCATACACGTGATATGTTCTACAGAAAACTAGGGAACGTGGGTGAACGAATTGATGCTGCGAATGGATTTGACAACTGTTTTGTCATTGATAAGTCTAACGACCCCGTACATGTTAAGCCCTCTAAAGTTAGTGGAGGCAGTGCCACACCGTCCGTGCACGTGGCTGCTGTATGTATGGACCCCGAGTCTGGGCGTAAAATGACCGTTCTGACGAGCGAGCCCGGTGTACAGGTGTGTAGTGTCTTATTTTGTTTTTTATCAGCGCAGCCTGTCTCTTTCGCCATTGACTGATTGCACATTTAGATCACCACGCATAAGTAGGCGTACGTTGTCACACCATCTACTTCTCGTTCTGACCGCTCGTGTGATGTGTTGTCACACATCAGGTCTACAATTACAACCACGCATCCGCCGATGACAAGGATGCTCCCCACACTGTCTACTGGGGAATCTGCTTCGAAGCGGAGCACTACCCGAATAGCTGCAACCGAACCTCATGGCCACCTACTCAACTAAATAAGGGTGACACATACAAGCAGCTTACCGTGCACCGTTTCTCGACGAAATGAATCTGGTTGCCGTGCAATGAATATCGTTTCAATGCTGTACTACAGATACTTTATGGCAGAAAACATATTTTAGAGGATATCTAAGATAATCTGGCGGATATTGCAACCTCAGAATCGTCGCTTTGTAAAACTCCAAGACTGGAGATAGGCGATAAATACGTCTAGAAACCGATCAAACCGGCAAATAAAAAGTATGTATTCCACTCATATACCCATGTTTATGTTTTTTAATATTATTGTATATTGCTGTTGTCTGAATATATATCAAACAAGAGAAATTATTTGGCAGGATGCCTGCTTGTTTTATAAGTTGAAGTGTGATTACAAACAACACTACGCCAAGTGTACCGTAGTACATATATATAAACTAATGTACATATGTACTTGTATATCAACTTATATACATAAGTACCTATATATTGAGCTGAGTACAAAACTACATATACCAATTTGTACCTCATGTGTACCACCTATTCACAAGTTATATGCTAATATGTATATATTCAATCACGCTACTTTTACTGCGGAAGTGCACTTGCAGTATTTCGTCATGACGCTACCTTCACTACCCACATCTTTATATTATTGTACCATGCGCCCACTCGCATCATATGTGTATTTTTTAAAGGATAGGTTGATAGTGACAGGACTGTTTTCATTTTTCTTCACAGCATCGCTGCCCTTTTTCTTGCCCTTATTCCCCAAATTGTTTAGGGTGTCTTCACTTAGTCCACCTGGTATCTGGACCTATTTCGGATGAAACGCAGACCACACTATGAGTAAAGTATCTTGATTGCGAAAAAGAGGCGCGTAAGAGAGAAAGGTATACCAAAGCGCATACAGACAACGATTCCATCAATAATTGCGTACTCACAAGATACAAGAGAGGTTTATTCTCACGACCTACCGAAAACTTCCCACTCTGTCCGAAAGCTCCATCAATGAACCCGTTCTCGCCTTAAATCAAATCAGAGGTGATAAAATTGTCAATTGTAGAGTTAGGAGTTTATTGTCTTTGAATAATGTTGTCAAATAATCAAGAAAGCGATTGTAAGTAGAAAAGAGAAAAACAAGCAACGCAACTTTAGTTATTGATATGCATACCAGTTGAAAGCGTCACCTTCATTCCGGTGAATATCTTAATGTTCGTTTCTTTTTTAAATAGTCCCCTTCCAATCAGCGAGTTCGCATTGACAATCTGTGGAAAAGCGCGATCAGATATTCATATCACTATTTGCGCAACGTATGGCGCTGCAAAGTGCACTGTATAGCTGCAAAAACCACGGCATTATGAAAATGAGATTGAATTTAATTAAAATAAAATAAATCTGGATGCGATTGCTCTTACCCTATCGACAGTGCCTTCTCTGAATTTCCTCTTGTATATGAGCAGTCTTGGGAGAGTGTCCGCTTTGTATTTGGGAGAAGCCATGAGCGAGGATATTCGACCGTGAAAAGCGAGACGTACGGCCTTACTATTTATATCGGCATCCAATCGCGACGCTATATATAAACTGTCCGGCGGGCACAGGAGGGGTTGTGCCAAATTCAAAAGCACATAGATATCTGCAGGAACAAAAGAAACCCTCTGAGCATCTCCGACATTTGAGCGGACCGGTTGAAAGCTGGACATGCATGGCTTGCATCTAATCCAGAGCAACAATAGCATATAATCGCTCCAATACGTAGTGCATCCTGTTGTTATTTACCTTTGACCTTAGGGACGCCAGGACTGTCCTGCGTACTGGCCTCTGCGTAATTGGCCAAGTGAATGTAGTCACGGTCGAAGGTAAAGTCACCGGACGATCCCTCGTCAGTGCCGCCATCATCTACGATGCCAAAGAATTGTGCTTCTGCCATCACCGTTTGGTGTCCAACAGAAACATGAAACTTGGTTCCACTCTTAAGCTCGGGCTTGTATATTCTTACCCTGTTCGCGGTGCATATCATCGCGTACGCAGTTGGGATTGATCCCTCTGTGCATGCATACCTAGAACGAGATTGGTTTGTATATATGAAAAGGTGGAATAGTTAACATCATAGCACCTGATTGCACGCCTCACCCGTAAGTCCAATACTACATGAGACGATTGATTCAAAGGAGAGAGCTAAAACCGTGCATACCTTTCCAACGACAAAGTGGAACATATAGAATACGAAAGTAGTGGATGTTTGGCACACTCACCCTCTTTCCAAAAGCTTGGCGTCAAATTGTGTCACTAGTATTGCACCACGATCGCTCTGAGCCAGGCCATCTACCGGTTGCCGGAACATCTGCAGCGATTTTACTTTCTTCTTTATTTTCAATGACGGTATCTCTACAGTATCACCTGCTTTGACCGAACCACTGAGGACAGTGCCTGCAAACGAGCGGGATCAAGAATCAATAAAGGCTTCACTATCCAAATATACGGCAACGTTAAGCAAATATCAGAGCAGGAAATAAATAGCAAAAAAAAATCTCACTGAACAAGTTTCTCGACTGGAAGGGAAAGATGTCCTTATGCGGATGCGACGAAAACACACCAGTCAATACTGTTCCTTGCCCTTTAATAAAAAAACAGTGATCAATTGCAAAGAGAAAATGCGCTGCCTGTGGCCGTTTGAGATCAGATAAGCTCTCCTCTAAGCCCTGCAGGGATTCATAGAAATGTTGATTGAGCAGTGTCAAACTAGGAATATGCACACATACATGGGCAAGCAATTCGAGGTCGAAGTCCGAAAGTCTGTAAATAAATGCAAGTTTTTTTGAAGACTTACTTTCACCAGTTCATCCAGACCCACAATCTCTCCCCCTGGAAGTACTGACGTGCTAGTGACGGAAACAGTTTTAAATCTTGTTTGCTGCAAAGTTATTTTCATACCTGAAGTCATCTTATGGAGATGGTGGATGTACGATTTACACGTGAGCACATTGGATGTGGTGTTAGGACGTGGTGTATTGGAATTATTTTCAGATAGGAATATAAATTTCTAGTCAATCTCAGTATAAAAAAATCATCATCTGATGCGAATATACATATAACATTGTATGCACCTCTGGCACCTCAAGACATATACCCGAACTTTTTCAAAACATATCCACCAAGTACAGTCATCGCCTCACTATTGGAAATATATTCCACATCCATTACCTTTGCGATTTTCTTAGCTCTTTCTTCTTCCGGTACTAGATCTATTTTGTTGAGCACGACTACCATCCGGTCGCAGGTGATCTCTCCGACGACGATGCACTGCAACGGTAGAACAGTACTGATTAGTCCCAATCATAAACCTATAAACAATGATACTGCACAGGGCGGATCCTAAAGAATAGAAATAAAAGATATGTAACTGAGTACCTCAGCTGTCTGCGCCTGTATGCCCTTATTGATATCCACGACAAGAAGCATCACGTCGATGATTTGTGCGCCTCCGATGATAGTCTTTATAAGCGATGCATGGCCAGGGCAATCGACGAGAGTGAACTGGACTTCATCGCTTCCATGCGCTGTCAATGCGATTGGACTGGTCAAAACCCGGTAAAACGTAT